ATGAGTCATTTTCAGCTTTTCGCATGTATTCAATGTCACTTTAGACTTCAATAGTTTCACAGTTATAGCAGTGTTTATGGCAGTTTTAACAAGCTTTGATACGGCTCTGTGTACAGATTGATTCTCGTAAGATCTGGTAGAGTTATTATCGTTGCACTGAACACGAGTTTGCACTGTTCACGTTGTGTCAGACAGTAAACAAAGTAATTCCGTGACGGTACACGTTGGCTACCTCCTTGCTTTTTTCTTCTATTGCATAAAGCTTGTTGGCAAGCCAAGCGATTGGCGATAACACGTTGGCTATAACTCCTCGTCTATCGAGTATCGTGTTTAAATAAAGCTGACTCAACAGAACTGATTTCTTTTAGTCTCGATCACAACTCACAAGTTATTTTCTTCGCAAACGCCATACAAACACCCACTTCTGTTTAATAGTTGTTTACGCTTTGTCTGATGCAATTTTTCGCTCTTTGTACTGAGTGTAGCCATCTATTCTGTGATGTAGCACCTTATACAGCCAATGTGTCCAATGGCAATGTATAATGAATACACGGCCTAAACAATATATCTTCTGGCACTTAATTGGGCGCCGGTAATGCATAACGTCATCAAGTTATATATTGCGTAGAATCTGAAAGATTTTCTCAATATTCATGTCTGAAATGTTTATATATTTGAAAACAACACCCTCTCGCTCTTTCCTACCTCTGTATAATGGGTATACCGTGAAAATAATATCGGCACTCAATTGAATGCCTAGAATCTCAAAGATTTTCGACTCAATATTTACGTCTGAAATGTTTAATATATACACTTGAAAAAAAGCACTGTCCTAGCTCCTTGCTAGCTCTGTAAAATGAATATACCGTCTAAATAATATCGGCACTTGCATAACATCAATTTATATATTGCGTAGATTCTCGAAGATTTGCTCCATATTCACGTCTGAAATGTTTATACATTCCAAAACAACATTGTTTCGCTCCTTCCTAGCATCGTCACGCCATCGTGATCTACGGTTTGATAGCGCATGCGCATTTGCGCTGCTAAAGAAAAAATCGTGTGTTCCGGGGTAAAGATCCTTTTACACAACATGAGAAGCGCATGTTATAAAATTTACAATAACGACAACAATTCCTCGAAATTTTTGTAAACTTGGCAAAACTTGGCAAAAGGCCTACAGAATATTTAAATAAGACAACTGAAATTGCCTAAATAACCTTCAAAGCTCTGACTAAGTACGATAAATCACTACGAACATATATCGTATACACCCCCCGGAAAGTTTACTGTATGACTGAATGACTGATAAGTTTGAATTTCCCCCCAGTCATCACAATACTGTGAAGTTTCGAAGAAACTTCACACTAAAAATAGAAGGATGGGAAGTTGCGAAATTTAAACGAACTTTTATACCTATTTCTTTATTTATAAAAGCCTTAGCAGATTGAATGGCAAGCACAATCTGAAGCACAGGTGCAACTTTTTTCTCAAAGAATTCTATATCTGAAAAGTGACGCCTGAAGTCCAAGCAGTAAATCTTAGATAACGAGGCAGGCAAACAAATTTCATCATGGCCATCAAAGATGTGTTCCATCACAAATTTAGCATAAAGAAAGCATTTCTGACTAGCCTTAACTATTTTCTCTTGGCCTACTTGCTCGTCATTAGCAAAAAAAGAAGGAATACAGTTATATTCAGTTTGAAGATTTCTGTACTTCATGGAGACAAATTCACGAATATCTTTGCTAGACAGGGACTTCGGAATAGTCTCAACTTGGTCTAGTTAGCAAAGGAGGAATTTAAAAAAAGGTCCGATAGAGCGGGAGCATTGCGTCTTGCGGTCAAATGACGCGAAGCCACGAAGGAAGTGCTCGTGATAATCTGGCAAAGCAAGAAGCAACCATGGACCCTCCTTCATCCAAGCCGTCAATGACAAGAAAATGTCTGGTACTTTCATTCAATTGCTGCAATGGCGTGGTAATTAACAAATCGAACAGTGCGGATTATCTCTAAATTGATCAGTCTGTAGTTTCTCAACCAAGGGCAGCATATTTGGGAAGACTCTTCGGGAGCATATTGCTGAGACTATCGACTAACGATTTCAAATCGCAGGTGCGATAATTATCTTTTTTACAGTAATGTTATCCACCCAATTAGTTCTCCCTCGTGCCGACGGGCAAACTCTTGGGCGAACGAGCTTTTGCCTGTTCCAGCACCGCCCCAGATAAGGAAGGCACGTGACTCCCGAGGCTTGAGGTCTTTTTCCAACCAGTTTTCAATGTCCCTGAACAACCACTCACGACCGACAAATTCTTCCTTCATCCGATCAGAGACTGGATTGAACTTTAGCTCTGACCTCCGTCACAAATCCTTTTCTTGGCTCCGACTTAGCCTTTTCTAGCTTTTCCAGTTGGCTGTTCGTAGACACTTTCCGTCTTTGATTTCTTTCTTGACAATTTCCAGAGCGTCGTGTAGTTCGTTCTTTGTTACAAATTCACCCAAGCTTTTCCTTAGAACTTCAATCTGCTCCAAGGTCACCTCCACTTAATCCTTCCAAAAGGTCATATCACTTTTCAAAATGTTGATATCCTGACCAAGTTCATGTTGTAACTGAGCGAGTACTTCCAATCCTTTTTCTTCAATAACCGCGAAACCATTATTGAGTAAACTACTAAGCTTGTTTATGGCGTCTTGGACATCTTTGTCATGGTACAGTTCTGGGTCTTGATGAAGCGAGGTTAAAGATCCAAACGCTTTGACTTTATCAGCATCACATACATGCAGCAACTGTGCCAAATATCCCTAGCACTTCTTGCATCTGCTCTTTTCAAGAGATCGACACCTGAGTTGAGCATACCATTTGTCCCTCTCGGAGACCATTCTAATACGTTCAACAGTCCCGATATATCAGTAGTTTTGGCGTTGACTACATCAAGCTTTCTCGGTCCCAAGGGAGCCATGAAAATCTTAGCAATCTCCCATGAGGCACCAACGGTCAACCACTGAGTG